TTTTTTTTAAATAGTTTTTTAATAGTTTTTTATTTTTAATTAAAATAAATTTCATTAATAATTTTTTTAAATATAAGTAATTTTTTTAAAATGCAAATACTTTTTTGGTATATTTGTTTTATTTTATAGATGTAAGTAGTTTTTTGGTTCAAAAAAAAATTCAGGGATTTAATCGTGCAAAATATGAAAGTCCATTCGTTTTTTTAGATTTTTTTTTTCATTATTTTACCATATTAACCAATTCTGTTAGTTAATAAGAATGAATCTAACATGTTTTAGAAAGTTCAAGAAGTTATTTAATAGGTTTGGAATATCCAATGACTTATTTGTTCCAAAAAAAATGTTCAAGAACTTAATTATTTTAAACACTAGAATCCATTGGGTTTTTTAGACTTTTCCTTAAATAATACTAATGTAACAATAAACAACAATATAAAAAGTGGGGATTCATTTACATCTCTTGACTAAATACTAGGAGCATAATTGAAAGGAAAAAAAAACTCATGAAATCTATTAAAACTTTGGTTTAAGAAACGTTTAAAAAACTAAGTTATGGCAAAATAAACGAGACTATTTTAATAAGTTTAAAGAATACGTTAACTTATAGTCGTCAAACATAACTTCTATAGTTAGTTTGGGATAATATCAGTTTGGGATAATATCAGTTTGGCTCAGCGGTTTGAAATTTTTAGAAACCGAATGAGTTTATTTGAGCATTTGTTTGTATGTAGGAAGTAGGAAGTATTGAGTTCAACCAAATTCCTGTACTATACATCCACGACTTCAAACATCAAAAACAAAAGGCAAAGCATGTAGAAGACCAAATCGTTTCAAATCAACCAAATATACCAAATTGAACAGGGTTTCCAACTTGGTCAAACAAAATATGTTACGGTCCTTGTCGTTTGTTGAAAACAACACTTTTCGTCCCTACGGCTTTGAAATTACAAGGTGACCATTGTGGTTTACGAATCCGGATTTAGTCCCTCCTAACGGTTGTTAAAAATCCCGTTAAATGAGAGGCATTTTATCGATTTTTTTTTTGTTTTTTACCTAATCAGAATCGATTTTATGATTTTGGTTCCTGTGGTTTTTGATTGACTAAAAGACAAAATAAATTATAGAAGGATGAAAATGCTCATCATTTAACTGAATTTTTTAACGGCTGTTAAAAAAAGAGACCAAATCAGAACGTTTTTTACAAATCATGATGGTCATCTTATAACTTCAAAAGTATAGGGATGAAAAACGTTATTTTTGTTAAATTACATGAACCAAATTTGTAGTTAACTCTAAAAGTATCAAACCAAACTTACGGTTAAGACCGATATTTTATGTTATGAACTGACACAAAATAAAAACTACAAACTATAAGAATAGTAAAATGACATTATTATGTTGGGAGCGAGTCCCATGGTCTAAAGTGGTACGGAAAACCCGATCCCTTTGGTCACCCTTTTCAGTTGCCTATTTTATTGCATTTGGTGCCATTTAATCTCTTTCAAATGTAATCTAAATACCAAACAAAACAAAATGTGATCCTTTTCATGAAGACATGGAAGATGGGAGACATGGAAAAAGAAGCCAAGAAACCCCTCAGTTCGAAAAACAATAACAATGACAACAACAATAGCAGCAACAACAACAAAGAACAGGATCGATTCCTACCTATAGCAAATGTCGGCAGGATCATGAAAAAGGTGATTCCGGCAAACGGGAAAATCTCGAAAGATGCAAAAGAAACGGTTCAAGAATGCGTCTCGGAATTCATCAGCTTCATTACGGGGGAAGCCTCGGATAAATGCCAACAAGAGAAGCGAAAAACGATCAATGGTGATGATATAATTTGGGCAATCACGACATTGGGGTTCGAGGAATATGTGGACCCGCTCAAACAGTATCTTCTCAAGTATCGAGAATTAGAAGGGGATAAGGTTAATAATAATAATAATAATGTACCTAAACAACAGCAATGCATCGAACAACAACAACAACATAATGCAACCAATGGGTTGCCTTACGAAAACGTTTATTCGTCTTCTGCTCCGAGTATCATGTCTCAACCACCATTCGTAACGGCTTCCGATCAGCCGTTTGCTCTGCCGTTTTCACCAAACTCAATTCAGACACAAATACATCATCAACAAGAAAGCATTGATTCGGTTGGACATTGGTAAAGAGATCGTCTTCTTTGAGTTTTACTTCATAAATACAGTCTGTAACTATGAATTTTCTTTAAATATTTGACTATAATTTGGAATATCTGTTTTGTTGAACTAAAATTCTCTCAAATTTTGATACTTATAACATAATCCTACACATAATTTATTAGACAATAATAGAACATAAACCTAATCAAATTTTTTAACGTTCTATCAGTAACACCATCATTTTATTTATTTTTATTTCTATTGTTCTTTCATTTATTTAATGCTAATTGTTTTTTATATGGGAAAGTTCGTTTTTTGAATAATAATTGTATCTTTATAGTCGCTAAAATAGATGGACTAGTAATGGAGAACCAAACACCGGGATTTTGGATATGAAGGGTGAAACCGTGCTCGAGAGGGTCAAAATTTGTTCTTTTTGGCAATTCATTGCGTCTACACATACTCTAAATTAAAGATGACAAAGCCCAGTCTCAAACAAGTATATCCCAAAGTTGTGCAGTCCTATATCGATCGGGTTAAGCATGATCATGATGCTTGAAAGTGTGCATGTTTTTTTTTATTAACCTGGATATCCAACCCGCTATGCGAGCTGACTAATCCCAAGGCGACCATCTGCTTTGCAGATAGCTCGGAATCACCGCATTTGAACCTCCGTGGCCACAAGGAGATTTTTATTTCTCCTTGGATTTGAACCTAGGACCTCCTGGTATTTTTGTCCTTATATATATATATATATATATATATATATTAAAAATAGAACTCTTCATAATTAACTTTAGCAAAGAACATATGTGGAAAGATATCTCACTCATTTTATATTAAAAAAATTACAAATATCGTTAATAACACCTAAAAAAAAAATATATGGAGCTAATCATCTCATCTCCCTTGTAATATCGATTCCATGGTTACTATTGGGCTTTGATGACCATTCTCGAGCCTAAGTCCATTTGTGTATCCATCTATTTCTACTCGAAACTCCAAACCTTTATAAAGTTTATGAATATTGCTTCTCCAATGTCCATATATGCAAAGAACAACGTTTGAAGTCGTGAATTCTAATGACAAAACCAACCATGCTAAATCCGGTCATGTGGTAGGCACTTCGTTAAACAGTTTTTGCCAAAATTTTGAAGATAAGAGCACAATGTTATTGTCCTTTGTTCTTTTAATTTGGAAAATTTTCATCTTGTCAATTGTCATACACTACTCTGAAAAGGTTTACAACCTACATATTCAAGGTTATAAACCCGTTTTCCTAAACCAAATAATCGAAACTTTTAGGGGGTGTTTGGTTCACATAATGGAATTTGATAGAATTAGAATCCCTCAAAGATATTTG